ATGTAGATTTAAAATCTAGTTTGTAATTAGTAAAGCTTTTAATGATTCAATTTATTTTACTCTTATAAATGATGAAGGTAAAATTCAAGTTTGGAATGGTGAATTAAGTTTGCATAGATGCTTATAATATAATCTTAGATCATTTGAAGAAAAAGAAGAAGATTAAAATTCTTTGGCTCCTTTATTTGCTGAACCTATTCCAGAAAATAAAGTCTCTCTTCAAATATTGAAAATCAGGATAGTCAAAGTGAAGAAGCCTAAGAAGTTATAATTCCTAATGTAGAATTATTAGAATAACTATATAATATGAGTTTATCAATTGAAGCTTCAAAACAAGCATTAATATAAACAAAAAATTAAATTTAAGATGCTATTGAGAAAGTTATAGGTTTTGAAGAGTAAAAATAAAAAGAAAAACAGTCATTATAATAATAAGAAGTTAAATTACCTAAATTAACACCATATTGAACTTGTAAAGGATGCACATTACTTAATTCTAATGAAAATATTAAATGTTAAGCTTGTGATGATGAGCCACCATATGATGCATTTGAAAAAGAAGATGTTATTATAATATAAGAGTAAATCCCTGAATAACCAACAGATGTTAATAAATAGTAAATTATTAAAATGTATTAAAAGAATAAAATAAAGGAAAAAATAGTAGATTTATTTATGAAACATTATATCCAGTTTTAACTGTAAATATTTATTATAATTATTTAGTAATCAAAAGAAGAATTTGAATTTAAAGATTAATTTATTTTACCAGTGGATGATATCATTACAAATTTATAATTTTAAGATGATAAAGTTATAATTTAAGGTGCTACAAAGCTTTTTGAATGTACATTATTTGATGGTAAAATATAAAAGTGATATTCTTAGGTGAAAATTATGATCCAAAATTATAATAAGCTTAAAAATAAGAAAAAGTAATAAAATCAAAATAAATAGAAGAAACTAAAGAAAAACAATAAATAATTATTCAATAAAATGATAATGTTGAATTTTTGGATGATTTAATAAAATTAACTCCTGAAGAAATTTCAGATTTAGCTAAGTTAAATGAACTTTAGGATGTATACTTCAAACCAATAAGTAATAATCCTATGCTTTTATCATAATAAAAAGAAGATTCATGGGCTAATATTATAGTAGATATAAATTAAAAAAGTTAAAATAAAATAGAATTAAATTTATCTAGCTAATAGTAGATGATGAAATTAATAGTAATAGGATTTAGTGACAAGAAAGCTACTTTTAAATAAAAGGATTGGATATCAATTGATGGATTGAAACCTGAGAAAGATGATCAATTGCCACTTACTATTCTTAGTCATAAAGGATCATAATTTAATGTTTAGTAATGTATATCTAAAATATGTTTTGTTTAATAAGAAATATTTTCTACGGTTTATTCAAAACCAGAATTTATATTTAAACATTTACATGGGAGATTTATGAATTTTTCTAAATTTATGGTTGCCAGTCCAAATAAATTTTAAAATACTGGTGTACCATTGGGATCTGGATTAATTTTTATTGGAAATAATGCTAATGACTTTTTATTTTGTGAAAAATTCAAAAATTTCAATAAAGATAAATATCAATAATGGAAACTTGAGAGATCAAAAGATGCTAGACCTTTAAAACCATGGGAACCAGTTGCATTTTTTGAATTAGGAGCAAATGAAGAATAATTAACATTTTCTTTGGAATATCCAAAAATAGGAAAATATGTATTATTAATGACTTTATCAGCAAAACAAACTGATTAAGTGAAATTCGAATAAAATCCTCTTACATTAAATTATTTTGTTGCTTATGGTACTATTGTAAAAGAAACTTTGGAAGATTAATTAATTTAAAGTGAAGAATCATTTGAGCTATTCAAAGATATTACTTTGAAAATAAATGATACTGTTTTGGATAAAGATTAATGCTAATTCAAAGAAGATACTTATGGTAATTATAATAAATTTATATGTGAAATTCCTGCCTCTTAATTAGCAAATGTTTAGAATATTAAAATTGAATTGCAACAATCTTAAATAAGCTTTCTTTAAATTAATGGATTTAAATAAAAAGATATAAATTAAAATCTACTTTAAAAACTTCCTCAAGCCAATTTGATAACAAATTTAATGCATGATATTTCGAAATATAATCAATTCAATAAGAAATTTATGTAACTTATTCATGACAATAAAGCATCATAATAATAAAGATTTAGTGGAATTAAAGTTTTGTGTAAGTTATTCCAAAGTATTCCTTAATTTGTTAATATATGCTATAAAGACTTAGATATTTTAGAATTTATTAAGTTAAATTTACTAACACAGCAATAAGAAGAAGAATCTTGCGTTTAAACATTTTTATAGTAATTATTTTCTATACCTGAATTTAATGGCCAATTAATTAAAGCAGTTAAAGACATTATTAATAATATCTTTACTTTATCTGATATAATAAAACCAGCAGGTTTTATTTAATTACTTTAAATGTTAAAGAGATATGCTTCACTAGATTCTAAAGAATATTATCCATATATTTTAAGTCATTTAAAATAAATTGCAAAGTTTATTCATAAAGTTGATTAATCTTATTTGAACAAATTGAATCAATTATAAATTTTCTTGATGTTAACTGAGGAATAATTATTTTCTGATAGATATTATAAATTAACTTAATTTGTAGAAGATACTCCATTAATATCTTAAGTTTTAGGTGAAGTATAAAAATAGATTGAAATAAGCAATAACGAAAAAGTAGACCCTGATAAACCAAATAATTTGATAAATATAGATATTAACATAAAGAAACCTCTTTATTCAATAATAGTATTTTCAAGATAAGCTCATTATGATGAATATGTAATTGATCTTTTATGTTAATATGATATCCATTAATTTTAATTAGTGTTCAATACTCCTCAAATAAATTGTAGAGTAGTAAGAGTGACATTATTTAATGATTAAACTAATTAACCTATTTTGGATGTTACATTACCAGATTGGTTACTAGTTTAATTAACTAAATATGCTGATTAACATTCATCAAATATGCCTAAAAGTAAATTAAATATAATGACATGGAATATTAAAGCTTAATAAGTAAGAACATTAAAATTATAAATAACATATTCATTAACTGCAGCCACTAGAACAAAAGAAGAAAATAATATTGCTCCTAAGGAATTATGTATTATTCCATAATTTAAAGGATAAT